ATCGTCACAGCACCCATAGCAAAGTCGAAAGCATTACACATAATCTCAAATGGTAATGACCAATTTGGAGGTTGCATGATGGTGGCGGATGATAGAAGAGTGTGAAGTTGATGAAAAGCATCGAGGCATGCTTTATCAAAGACAAATGGTGTCTCCTTGGCAAGAAGATTGCACAAAGGTCTAGCAATTTTACTAAAGTCTTTGATGAAGCGACGATAAATCTGGTATGACCAATAAATGAGCGGAACTCTCTCACCGTAGAAGGTGGAGGCAATTCAGAAATCAGCTCTACTTTCGCTTTATCAATTTCGATTCCCCTTTGAGATATGACATGGCCTAACACTATCCCGTCTTAAACTATGAAATGGCTTTTTTCCCAACTTAACACAAGGTTTGTCTCACGATATTTTTTAAGCACAAGTGAATGATTTTAGAGGCACGAATCGAATGATGACCCAAAGACCAAGAAGTTATCCATGAAGACTTCTAAATATTTTTTCACCATGTCCGAGAATATTGACATCATACACCTTTGGAATGTGGTGGGGGCATTGCACAAACCAAATGACATCTGTCGATAAGCAAATGTGTCAAAGGGACAAGTAAATGTGGTTTTTTCTTAGTCAAGCAGGTCTAGGGCCACTTGATTATACCTCGAGTAACCATATAGGATGCAATAATACTTTTGCCCGGCCAATCTTTCTATGATTTTATCAATAAAGGGTAAGGGAAAGTGATCCTTCCTAGTGGCAGAATTCAATTTTCGATAATCAATGCACACACACCATGAAGTGGTGGTGCGTTTGGAAATGAGATCACCTTTAGTATTTTCCATAGTCGTAATTCCTGACTTTTTGGGAACTACTTGTGTCAGACTTACCCATTTGCTATCGAAGATAGGGTAAATGATCCCCGTATCCAATAGCTTTAATACCTCATTCTTGACCACTTCCGTCATACTTGGGTTCAATCTCCTTTGAGCATCTCTAAAAGGTTTCTCATTCTCCTTCATATGAATGCGATGCATACATATAGAAGGGTCAACTCCCTTTAGGTTAGTCACACTCCATCCAATGGCTTCATTATTCTCCTTAAGCACTTCCAAAAGATCATTCTCTTCGTCCTCTTCAAGGTTTCAAGCAATAATGACCGAAAAAGTCTTTTTTGGGCCTAAAAACGCATACTTGAGATTGAAAGGGAGTGGTGTAAACTCAAGAGTGGATAGAGAGATGAGGGATGGAACCGGTGGAGTGCTAGAGATTAGATGAAGAAGTTATTTTTTATTTTTCCATGGTGGGAAATCTAAAGTGGCCACGGAGTCCTTCAAAGTATTGACTTTGCTTATGGATCCTTCATTGTCAAAACCATAATTGCCATACATTTCAAGAAGACACGCCTCAAGAGGATCCTTGGAAAGGATAGAGGAAACTTTCTCCTCAAGAGGGTTCTTTGAGAGCATTGAAGGAATAGACTCTTCTATAACTTCATCCAGGACATCAACAAGGCAACACTCGTCTTTATCGATAGGATGTCGACTTGCATTGAACACATTAAGTTTAACCATAATATTGCCAAAAAAGATGTCCATAATGCCAGCCCTACAATTGATAGTTGTATTTACGATGACAAGGAATGGCCTTCCTAGAATAATTGGAATGTGATTGGTAGGATTAGAAACCGGTTTAGTATCTAACACAACAAAATTAACCAAAAAGTAGAACTTATCAACCTTAATGAGAATATCCTCAACCATGCCCCTAGACTTCTTGATGGATCTATCAGCTAATTGGAGTACCACCAAAGTTGGCTTCAAGTCACTCAATCCTAATTGCATATACATGGAGTAAGGGATGAGGTTAACACTTGCTCCTAAATCAAGAAGAGTCCTACGAACCTCATGGTTCCCTATGACACAAGAAATGGTTGGAGCACCAGGGTCCTTGAACTTAGGAGGGGTGTTATGGAGAAAAATAGAGCTCACTTACTCCATGAGGAGCACTTTCTTAAGGCTTTGTCCCTTGTTATTCCTCTTTTGGGTGCACAAGTCCTTCAAGAACTTTGCATATGGTGGAATTTTCTTAATCGAATCTAGAAGTAGAAGATTGATTTTAACTTGCTTGAAAACTTCCATTATGTCATGAATTTTTCCCTATTGTCTCCTAAATGGTGAAGTCCCTCTCAAAGCATAAGGAAATAATGTTTTTGGCTCATAAGACTTTTTGACTTGGGAAGATGATAATGATGGTGATGGTGATGAATGAGAGTTCTTTTTGGAACCATTTGCATCCAGGAAGTAGGAATAAGATTTGGAAAAAGGTGCCACCACTTAGTTGCACCGGTTCACTTACTTCAATTAGTCTCTCTACCTTATTGTCCACTCACCTCCCACTTCTCAATGTTGTTATAGCTTGCACTTGCTCATGTGGAGAAAATCCCGATGTATGACTTATTTCCACCATATAGTGTGTCTTGGGATTTCTCTCGGCTTGACTTGGTAGCTTACCCTTCTCTCTCGTATTCATAGAATTAGCTATCTTCCCGATTTGGAATTCAAGCTTTGAGGTGGATTGATAATGAGAGTGTAACAATTTATTATTTGCTTCTAAGCCACCTAAAGCCGCCAAGACTTTGTCTTTCAAAGCAGAGTTCCTGGAAGGAGCTTGAGAATGATGAGAGTAAACTTGAAAATTGGAAGCTTGAGGTTGAGAATATTGATTCACATTTTGATGGGGGTAAAAAGAAGAATGGTACCTTTGAGAATTTTCATTTTGAAAGTGAGGAGGCACATACTTTCTTTGGAAATTTTGAACCTATGGAGGGTTTGGATCGGCTTCTTGATTTTTCCAAGAAAAGTTTGAAGTCTCTCTCCATCCCAAAGTATAAGCATTAGAATATGGGTGAGCAAATGTGGCATTAACTTGTTCTTGTTGCTCATTTGTAAAGGCTTGTCCTTGTGGACAATTGGAAGTATTGTGATTGCAACTAGAACAAATCATACACACTTCATTATGCGAGTGGGAAGAATAGGATACTTGAATTGCTGGTCTTTGACTCAACAAGAATTGGTCAAGCCTTTGGGTAAGAGTTTTAACCTCTGCTACAATTTTCATTGGACTCTCTACTTGACACAAGTTTGATTTTTTCTTCTTTCCCACATTAGAATTACCACTTACCCGAGAGGCTTGAAATTTATGCATTGAATTTTCACTCATATTCTCAAAGAGGTGCCAAATATCATCCTCATGTTTTCCAAAATATGAACCTCCACATGAAACATCCACTATACCCTTGTGGGCATGGGATAAGCTCTCGTAGAAGCATTGACCTAATTGCCACTTTGGAAAGCCATGATGTGGACACTTCCTTAGCAAGTCGTTCAAACGCTCCCACACTTTATGTAGGGGTTCTCCATCCCCTTGAGAAAACTCATGAATCAAAGTTCTCATTGAATTAGTTCAGCTTACGGGGTAATACTTTTTTAAAAATTTATTTTGCAACTAAGCCCATGATGTTATAGTATTAACTCCCAAGTTGTTAAACCAATATTTAGCTTTGTCCCGAAGAGTGAAAGGAAAGAGTTTTAATTTGAAAACTTCTTCGGGGACATCCATGATTTTCATGGTGGAACACACCTCAAAAAACTTATCCAAATGTTTGTAGGGTTCTTCATTGCTTAAGCCATGGAAAATAGGACATGTTTGGATAATTGAGGGTTTAATCTCATAATGGTTGGCCCTAAAATTTGGCAATTGGATACATGTTGGCGCATCGTACACATTAGGAGTGTAATGATCATGAATGACCATTGGAGGATTTGGAGCTTGAACTCCGAGAGGAAATTGATCTGGAGGAGGATGTTGGATCACATTGGGGTCTAGATACCCGATATTCTCATTTTGGTCTTCCATTGGAGTGATGATGATTAAGAGTTAAAAAAATTGCCCAAGAATTAGTCAACACACCAACAACTTCAATCAACAATAATTCACAACCCCCACATATGATGTTCCCATACTCCCATGTTATCAATGAAAGAAATTAATGGTCGCGACAAGGACCCATGCTCTTAACATCAAAGTAAATAACCTCAACAAGGGCTCATGCTTGGACAAGAAATTAAAAAAATGTAATTAGCCTCGACAAGGGCTACTTTACAAATAATAAGCAATGAACAATTAAGCTACAAGAGTTTCAAGAATTGCTCACAATGGTCCCAAGCAACAACATCGGAATCCCAAGCTTGTTTTCCTTGTAGTCAAGTACCTAATTGAATAAGAGTAACAAGTAAGACAAATAAAATTGAAAATTAAAACAAACAATCAAAGAAACACTAATGTTTAATTCAATTTCAACCAAACTGTCAATCCCTAGCAACAGCGCCAAAAACGTGATGTTAATTGAGCAATGTGTACAAAATGTGTTAAAACTTTAGAGAGTGTCAAGTGTGAATCACATTTTAAATTTATAAAACCACTAGATACTTATACTATGTAGTATGAAGTAAGTAAGGATCGTCCCAAGAGATTGAACACTTGTTGGATTTAAATTGAACCTTAGAGCTAATGAGATTGTTTTACCCTTCTTTTTATCTTTGGACTCTTTCCTAGCAACAAAGCTATTTTTGGGACTTGGACAAACTATTGATGTATGATCTATACCTCCACATGTCCAACATTTAATCTCAGTTCCTTTAGACTCCTCTTCTCTCCTTTTATCTTGTCTCTCACTTCCCCTAGATGAAACTCTATATTCCTAAACCTTGACTCTCCCCCTTTCTTAAATGCATTCATCTTTTTAAACTTGATCAAATTCCTGAACTTCCTAGTCATGAGAGCAATTTCTTCATCTGACTCACTATTATACCTAACCTCAAACCTGGAAGACTCAGACTTTGAAGCTTTTAGGGCTAAATCTTTAGATTTTTGGGAATTTCCATAATACTTGATCTCATAGTTCTTAATATGACCTACAACCTCATCAACTTGCATGGTAGTGATGTTTTAAGTTGCTTGCAGTGTTTCAACTTTGATTCTGAACCTTTCAGGCAAAGACCTAAGGATTTTCTTGTAAATCTTCTTATCTGTCACTTTCTTTCCTAGGTTTCTAAGGCCAGACACAATATGGTTGAGTTTTATGTAAAACTCAGAAAAGGTTTCATCTTCTTCCATCTTAAGATTTTCAAATTGAAACGCAAGCATCTCAATCTTTGAAGATTTGACTTCATTTGTTCCCTCATGGGTAAATTGAAGTATATCCCATGCCTCCTTTGCAATTTTACAATGAGCAATACGAGCTAACTCATATTGGACAACCGATTTGAATAAAGAAAACAAAGCTTTGGTGTTTTCTTCTAGAGCATTATTCTTAGCTGAAGTCCACTCAGACTCTTCTTTTCCAATGGTAACACCATCATTTGTGACTGTAGATTTTTATAACCTTTTTCAATTGCAGCCCAAACATATTTACCTTGAGTCATAAGAAAAGTTGTCTATTAGGTTTCCAAAAAGCATAGTTATCACCATCAAACAAAGGAGTACGTTGAATAAATCCACCTTCCTTAAGAACACTATCCATATCAAATTTTAAAAACAAGAATAGAGATTTTTTTTATTAAAAAAAAAATTCCACAAGGAACAACTCAATGTGTAGAGGATGGCTCTGATATCACTAGTTAAGAGTTGGTACGCAGCGGAATAGTTGTGGAATATAATATAGATAGATAACCTAGAGAAGTGGTTAATAGATTCAACTTGCTCTTTTATCCAATTTTAATTTTACAGAAATAAAACTAAATTCAAACCACAAAGCAAAACTAAAGTGCAAGTAAAGTAAATAGAGTTTGAAAGATGACACTAGGATTTTAGTGAGGAAACCCCAATTGGTAGAATAGACCAATTGTAACAGGAAAAACCTCGTTGGACTTTGCAATCCTGAGATAAACGATCAACTATATTTGAAGCAAAGTATACCGAACTTTGACTCAGTCTCACACTCTATCGTTCTACCAAAAACCAATTGCTAACAATCCCTGACTTTGCGACTCCCCCGTCCAATAGCTCTTGACCTCTGGCTTACTCTCAATCTCTGTAGAAGAGTTGCAGGTAGATTAAACAGCACTCCACGAATGCTCTGACCTCTTCAAAGTATGATCGTTTCACCCCTTTTCTTCAAGATCTGATTTGATGAAGAACGAACGAATTCTACTTCTCCGAAATTTCTAAATCTTCTAATATGTTTCAATTCTGATGAGATAGAGAACAACACTACTAAATCACTCTTGTGTTTATGTGTGTGCTCTCAAAAATAAAATCAGAAAAATCATATTAATTTTTTGAATAAAAATATCTCTCAAAGATGGCTCTTTAACAATATTTGAATTTTGTATGCAAAAGCCGTGTATAAAAATATCTCTCAAAAGGCTTTCTCAAAATATAGAATTGATGTTCCTTAAAACCATAAATAAACCTATGTGTATGACAAGGTTTATATAGATTATAGAATGACCTAATCCCTCTGAAAATATGAAAAAATTCATGCATAGGATTTGGTACAATTCTAGACCAACTAGGAAAGAAATCTGAAACAGGAAACTAGAAGTTGTATTGCTGTCAGGACTTCTTGAACCGATTTGAATCGGTTCAAGATTGGCAGTGAGAATTCGAAGCCAATCTTAAAGGCTTTGAACAGGTTCAATGGGGCTGAACCGGTTCAAGTCTAGCAGACTTGAATTTTCAGGTTGAACTTGGTAAAAACCCTATTTTGGAAATTTCTGAAAATATACCAAGTATGGAATGTATCCTAACATTTTTAGATTCCTTCCTAAAATGTTGTTCTTACCTCTTTTGAATGATCTCAGTTATGATAACTTTGAATAACCTTCCAATTCCGCAGTCACTGTCGATCCCGATATAGTAACTTGAATTTACTACTCGACTAGGACTTGTTTTGACACCGAAAGTTGTCAATTACAGAATATATATTTTTTACAATCTTCCCAAAATATATATCTCACAAACTTGTGGTCTGATCCCTCCATCATGTTATCAAATGTCTCAACTAAACCCTATATATTATATAATCAGTGTGAGTCTTATTGCAAGTGTGAGAAATATACATAACAATATTTGAGCTAGGTTTAGTACAAGTGTGAGTTAAATGCGTAACGATACTGAGCAAAAAAAAAAAGTACAAGTGTGTAAGTTAAATGCAAAAGAGCCAAAGACAGTGCAAGTGTGTGAGTTAAATGCGAAGAGGAAAAAAAAAGTGCAAGTTAGTAAACACCGCAAGTGTTTGAGTTAAATGTAGAAGAGCAAAAAAAAGTGCAAGTGTGTGAATTAAATGCAGAAGAGCAAAAAAAAAAATGCAAGTGTGTGAGTTAAATGCAGAAAAACAAAAAAAAAAAAATGCAAGTGTGAGTTAAATGCAGAAGACCAAAAAAAATGTACCTTCTGCCTATCAGATATGAAGGTTATGCCATGGTATGGCCCTATAGCATCCATCAACTCTCCCATGAACCATTCTTAAGAATCTCTTATCTCGGACTCCACAACTGCAAATGCAACTGGAAACATTTGACCATTTCCATCATTGAAAACTGCACTAAGAAGATGACCACCATATGGTCCCTTTAAGAAGCACCCATCCACTCCAATTAATGGCCTGCATCTATCTTTAAAACCAGCTATTATTGCAGCATAACAAATAAACACTCTTTGAAACCTTCTAACATTCTCAACTCCAGTGGGCTCAGTTTATAGTTTAACATTGCCAGAGTTGATTCTCAAGAGCAAACTACAGTAATCCCTCATTTTTTCATTTTACTCAGCATCATTACACTCAATCAGTTCTAAGGCTTTTCTCTTTGCCCTATAGACTTTATGTTTAGACACATCAATGTTCAATCCAAAAGAAATAATGCACATAAATGTACCCAAACGAATCTTTGGGTTCAATCTCACTTGTTCTAAGTATTTGTTTGCTAAGAAAGTTGATGAGGCCTATCTATTTGTATGAAACTATAGGTAGTTCGTATGTCCTGGCACATAAGTCTTAACTATCAAGCAATCTTCATTTTTAGGTTTGTTTTCATGTATCCTCCAGCCACATTTCAACCTTGTACACCGCAGTTACCCTATCTTAATGCAATTTCTCTAAGTGCCAACCATAATTAGTAGCTAGCCAAATTTCATTCTTATTTCTAGTTCCTTTTCTCCCAAATCCCTTGAAGGAATGTAATTTTGGTGTATAAAACCACTATCACTCCTTCATCATCAGAACTACATAAACTTATCAACTCATCGTTAGGACCATAGTCATTTGCCACGGAGCAATGAGTTTTGTTTCACCCATTGGATAATCAAACCCTAAGTCGCTATCCAAGTTAACCTCATTCAACGAAGGTGCAACAATGTACAACTTAACAATAGAAAATTTTCCATGAGCTTCATGGTCATAAAACTATCTAAATACATCTAGGTTACAATTAACTTCTCTGAATTGCTTCCATTCATAGGGTACTTTGTAGAATACTTCAATGACCTTGCCATCCCTTGAATCTCAATCATTGACATCATGTCAAAGTCTATTTTTTCAAAATGAGTTATATTTCCTCTTAGGTATGCCATATGGTGTGCTTTCTCAAAGATACTCCCATGATGAAGTTCAATGGTAAACATATCATCCATCTACAATTGAAGGAAAAAGTGGGATCACTTAAAAATAGTAAAGTAATTAAAGGTAAAAACAATAAAGTCAGTGATGAGCGTTGAATATTGCATATTCAAGCCCCTAATGATGCGTATGTTAAGATCTTAAGTAGTACTTTTATCCAGTTTTAAACTAATTTTAGTTTACTTTACTTATGTAGGTATTTTCCCAAAGAAATGGATAAAATCGGGTTTTTATGATAAAAATACTGATATCGAAACTTACAGAGTTTTCGCCGATCATCTAAAGCAATCTTGGAGTCAAAATGGTGATTTTGGAGAAGGTCAAGTGCAAAAGCTTGAGCACAAAGTTCATAGCTCAAGCACAGAGTCAACTGAAGCAAGAAAAATAACCTAGGCCAAAAGGCTCTAGCAGAGATCTTTCTACTTGAGCAGAGAATTAAGGTGCTTGAGCCTTTACAAAATGGATCGAGCACAAACTCCCTCAGAATATGAAAAGATGCTTCGGAAGATCCATGTTGCCAGACCTCGAGCAGAGACCAAAAGGCTCAAGCATAATTTAAAAAGCTTGAGCAAAATTCCCAAGGCTCGAGCACCAAGCCAGGGTGATCAAGCACCCTGAAAAAAATATCCCAAAATATTCTAAGTGTTGATGAAAAAGATGCTTCGGAAAATATTTGAAGAAATTGACTAAGTATAAAATTCCTGCTCGAGCATAAGTCAAAAGGCTTGAGTATAAGCCAGAAAGCTCGAGCAGAAGCTTCTATGCTCGAGCCTTTCCTATTAAGTCAGATTTTTAAGTTACGGGATTAATTCTAATTAAGTCCTAATTCGTCCCAGACGGGCCAGATAACCCCAAAAAACCTAAAGCCCATCCAATCCTTATTAGAAGTCAGTTTCTTCTATAAAAGAATGCACAAGGCCACAAAAAAGCTCTTTCGTTTTAGTTTTCATTATTTTAGATCTAGTGGCGGCTTTTAGGGTTTTTGTAATTTTTCTAAAGCATTAAAGGTGAGGATCCTCAGAAGAAATGTGCAGTCCATGATGATGAAGTGCACAACAACATAGATGATATCTTGCATCATCATAAGTAGCTAAATCTCCTCTTAGGGCATTGATGTAACCCGAATCCGAATATTATGGTTTGATTGTTCTATACTTTGGGATTTTAACTGTTTATGTATTTTGATTGCATGATTTTGAGCAATTGACTTAGATGTTCTAAGCAATTGGGATTTTAATGAAGTAAAGTAATTCTTGAGTAATTAATACATTGTCTTAGATTTAATTGTTCATTAATTATATTCAACATATTCTTAGTGTACGAGATTGGCGGCTAAGGACTTCTCGGACAATAAGAATAGAGATCATGCAATGGTGTTTAAAAGTATTTTATAAATGAATATTTTCATAGTCTATGCCCAGGGAAGATGAGTTATACTACAATATTAGTTAAAAGTAGGTATGTAGATAATTCGTGCCAACTAAAGATAAATTATTATTAACTGAAATTCATGAAACATATTTCTTTAAATCTGAGTTAAACGAATGTTATTGAATTTAATTACATATGATACATAAGTGTTGAAATCCCAAGGTTGAGCAGTTGACTATAGTATGAGGTTCGTCGTGAATTCAATCCCTAAGATCTTCTCTCTCTTATCTCAATCTTTTATTTAGTTAATTTTATTTATGTTATTGAATCACACAACACACCAAATAAATCTTTCTTCTAAATTAAAATAGTATTAATTGAAGGCTTGATAATCTACCATAATCTTTGAGGTTCGATCCCCTCTAAGTAACTCTATCCTTCAAAAGATTTATTTTATTACGAGTAATATTTTATTATTAACATTGTCGACCATACATCAGTCAGCATTAGTGCCAATGAAAAAATAAAAAATA